TGTGTGTGTGTGTGTGTGTGTGTGTGTGTGTGTGTGTGTGTGTGTGTTGCTGAGCCAGAAAAGGGGGAGGTAGTTGGAGGGATGGAAGGATCAAAGCACCCAGGCTTGGTGCAGTGCAGAACAGGCTGCTCCTCTGCATACCTCCTCTTTTAACTCTTAACTAAGCTCTTAACTCTCGAGATACGAGCTCTGGAAACGAGGCTTCACCATCAACAAATGTAATATGCCTTTAATTAACAAACTGCAGTATACGATGTGATGCAGGGACAGTTTTCAACCACAGGATTTGTGACACATTTGTGTCGATAACCTAGTTTTCCTGATGATACATTTTTTTTTAGTTAGATTAATGTATTTGCTACATATTATAAAAGAATACATGACATTTGTATTCATAAGATTACTTTCTCCATTGCTGGGCACAATGATGCACACATTTATAGAAGAGTGAAGTGTCTCATATACAGCTGACCTGAAGTTGTCGCTTGACGCCCAAAATGATTTCCAAAGATTTGGAAACGACAGAGACTGATGATACAAGTTTTGAGGTTCAAATTAAGCAGGCAGCCCTTCCTACAATCACATTCAGATGTATTCAGGGAATTCTGTATCGACTTATTTGGGAGAAAAGCAGAATTTAAGTAGTTTTCCATGGAAAATATTATTCACTAGCCAATTAGTCCTGATTTAATGTGAGGTCTGGGCAACCGATGATAAAGCCAGCAATACAATTCAGCTCTGATGAAACGAGTAGGGGCGGTTAGTTTCAACAGATGTTTCATGTAGTTGCATTAACTTCATGGTTTCACATGGATTTCTTTACTATCTGTGGAAAGCATGTAGATCTCAGTCAAAAACTTTTTATTTACGATAAAACATGAACATTACCATGAAGTCAGAGGTATTGGCAAACCCGTGAGTTAGGTTTTATTGGAAGTTAAGCTGTGGAGTAGTAAATCTGTTAGTGCGGAGAGAAAATTCAGAGCTGCTCCACCCACAAATGAGTCCAACATGCTCTAAATGTTTCTCAAATGTTGCCCGTTTGTGTGTATTTAGGTTTGATGGAAACTTCAATACCAATGTCTCCAAGACCATCTGCTGTGACAGACTTTCCCCCAACGTCAACAGCCGAGCGTTCAACCCTGGACGGGACCTCAACTCAGGTTTGTCACACACACGCACGCACACACACCAAATGACAGGAGAATTTGCTAACATACACACTGACCTGGTTTAACAAATGAAACCCAGACACACAAAGCTTAAACCATGAAAACTTGAGACTTAATTTGTTTCTGCTGTGGACTCCACGCCAAAATGTTGAATAATTTATCAGCAATTGCCACAGGAACCAGATTTTAATTATTAAGTTGTATTATCTTCTCTGTTCTTCTTATCTTCTAAATGTTAAAAGGAGAGGACAGTGATCTGAGATGGAAATAATTAGCTGTGCGTGTCTTCAGCTTTTACAGTCCGTCCTGTGCTCCCTCACTCACACTTTCTTCTCTTTCTGTCTCTCCACTGTTTTTCATCTGGTTTGATTTTAAAATGTTTTTCACAGCCTGACATCAAATTCACTTTGTTTGACTTTGAACTCTGCGATTGTATTCAGGTAGTGTGTTTTTTTTACCACCCTGTTGTCGACGGGCTTTGTCAGTTCTTTGTTTCAGGCCTCACTTCACCTCAAATAGAATTAGCATCAGTTGCGACGTGTTCATGTCTGTCATCATGGTCCCTACATGTAACCTCAACGGCGTCCTCACAAGTCATCCAAGAGAGCGCAATGCAAAACAGTTTAATGGTGTTCTCATTGCTCCCACTACACGTTTATTGAGGCTCCAGATTGCATAAGCAGAATGTAAAACCCACATGTGTCTGCACCACATATGTCAGTCTGCGTTTGATTAGGAAGAAATGGAGCAAATTCACTAAAAACCAGGCAAAGGCCTACTTTCCCCTGTGTGTTTTTCTGTTCTGATGCCATCACTTGGTTAACAGTGTGTCCCCGCTGCTTCCACAGAAGACATATCCAGCTGTACGACATGCATTCATCACACATATGGGCTGCATTTTCCGGAATATTCAACTCACTTTCCTTGTGTCTCTCAAACTTCCAGTTTCAGTCCAGCACACATTCCCTTTACATGATCGTAATAATTCAACCTAAACCCATCTCTGTAAGATTTGCGAGTAAGTGTACGTTTTATAATCCCCCAAATATTTCTACAAAAGTTGTATTTTAAAAATTAAAATTGTAGAAAGCACTAAAGTAGATAATTTATTTCATGGCTATCTTACTTAACTGCAGTATGTTGTAAAATAACATCAAATTGAATCATTTTGGGCGTAATTATCCCAAATAAACTCTGTACCATCTTGGAGAGACTGTTTAAAGACATCAGTATCCTTCACATTAAGTGCTTGTCGGATCATCAAACAGCTCCTGAACCCTCCACCCTCCCCACACTTTACAGACATCAGAAACTGGGTGGCTCCATCAGAGTACTTTGTAAATCTGAAGGTGTGTGCCGTTATCCACATTTCTACGGTTAATTGCATCTCTCCATGATTCCAAGTTTTTTGTCCTGCCTTCAGGTTTGTCCATTGGGAACAGATCAGCACTTTTGCGTGGATGTGTTTGGAGGACAGTTGATACAAACTAGTTTATGTGAATAATTGCACCTCCTTTACACCCTGGGTATTGCACCAGGCCCCCCTCTTCCTTCCCTTTTTACAGGAAGCTTCCAACATCATTTGTTCTTCTTCTGTCCTTCATTTGTTCTACTGCCCCCACCCATTTTTTCCAGACTCCCCAGTCTGCTCCTCTCTCTCTGCCAACCATTCATAATGACGGCCATTCATAACGCGTCACCATCGGCTGGGTGTTCTTTTCCTTGCAAGCCAGTCACGGCGAGTTCAAGTTACCCCTCTCCTCTCCCTGTCCCTCACACTCGGCCCTCCTTGACCCCCACGTTCCCAGCGCATTCATTCTCTCCCATTTGTCTCAGCCCAGTCTAAACAAGCAGCTACAGAGGGGGGAGGAAGGGGGAAGCGGGTGAGAGAGGGAGGGATAATTGAGAGGGAGAGAGTGATGAATGAAGGGGAAGAAAGGAGGGGTGGGCGCTGATTGAAATAGAGTAATTGTATCAAGACTGCATTGCATTCTTTCAATCTTCTTTCCTCTCATCTTCAATTTTACTTCTTTTTAGAGGGGAGAAAGGGGGAGATAGGAGAGAGATAGTGGATGTGAGAGACATCAGTAGTGATGGCAGCAGGTGGGAGTGAAAAGACAAGTAGATGAGAGATGACTGGTGGCAGAGTGCTGTGTGGTTAGAGTACTAGTTTGATGCATCTTCTTTCTTCCATTTTTTTCCCCTTTCATCCATTTTTCCCTTTCTGCAGTCTTCCTCCCCTCCTGCGCAATTTCATCCATTTCGGTGCATTCTAACTTTTCCAAAGTTTCGACTTTAAATTGGATTACCACTCGACACACTGACTTGCATTCACCAATGCCAAGTTCTTTGGCTACGCGTGTGACCTATAACCTAATAATTCTCTGTCCAGTCAGAAGACTTGTCGCGCTGCAAGGCCTTTTCAAGTTGACAGAACTCAAACTAACAAAAGTATAGTGCTCATGTTGTGTAAGTTGTATAGGGCCTGATTTTTATTTTGAAAACCCATGCGATGCGAGTGAAAATGTAGCACCACAAAGGCATGCAAATGCTCACAATAAAGTGGGTATAATCAATGTGTTTGTCTATAAGCCACGCTAATGCCGGGTCTCCATGGAGAGCAAGGACAACCGCTGTCGTCCAGACTAGAATATTTTAACTACAGATGGCTGTGAAATTGTTCACGCCAATGCTTGGTCCCCGCAGGAGAAATCCTAATCATTGTTTGTTTATCCCCTGACTTTCCGTCTTACGCCACAAGTTTTCACCTTATCTTGTGAAATATCTCCACATACACGTTTTGGCACAAAATGTGGTACAGACATCTTCGGTTCCCAGGCGATGCAGCGTTCTGACTTCCTGACCTTGTAGTGGCAGCGTGGGGTTCGTGCCGATATTGAGTCAAATATCTGAACAACTACCGGATGGATTTCCATGACATTCATGCTTCCCATAGGATAGATCATAACAACTCTAGTGCTCCCTTCATTTTACATGTAGTGCCATTGTTGGGTCTAAATTTGAGTTTGTCCAATGCTTTGTTTTTTGACCAAATATTAGCAGAACTATTGACATCGCCATTAGCATTTAGCTCAAAGCGCTGCTGTGCCGAAGTATAACCTCACAGAGTTGCTGTAGCATGTTTGTAGATTTGATTCTTGTCATTCATGGAGAAAACAGAAATATATAACACAATTATGCTGTAATGTTTCAGTAAAATATTTATTTAATGGCTTGAGTCATTAGTAATAAAAGTTATTAAGAACATCATGTCTGTTCCTTAAGTTTAAATGGAAGAGTGAGGGAGCTAGCAGATACAAGTGGCACTTTGAGTAGTATTAAAGTTGTAGGAAATGGGTGTCATCATTTGGGTCCTAATTCTTGGCTTGTCCATCTGTTTCTGGGAAGATCTAAACACTGATGGCAGAGTGGAGCACTGTAGCCTGTCAGATGTATACACAGTCCTTCTTCCACTGTCAACACGACTGAGTGTTTCCTGTTTATATGAGCCTCAGAGATGGATGGAGTGACCGGGCAGGGATGATGTATGACAGTGGGGTGCAAGAACCAACAGTGTCTCAGAAACGTGATGTCTTTGCCAAGTACATGTGGTCAGAGGTGCATTTTGATGCTGTTTATAATGTTTGACAGTTGGACGGGTTCACAGTTTTTCTGTAATTTATCTATTTGTGTATATTTTTAATTTGTTTTGGGTTTTAGCATTAGTTGAATATTTGACATGTGATTTTCCCCCCCGACCATAGCAAATTGAAATTGCCTTTGGCTCGTAATATTGCCGGGAGGTTGGAGAAGTTTGAAACAGGTTCTCGTTAGCAGGTGATTAATTCGATGTGATCACAAGCCAACGTCCACATTTTGAGACGATTAAGACCCAGATGTTCTGCATGAATGGCGGTTAGCATGTCTTAAGACTTAATTAACAAGGTATTGAAACTCTATCCTTCTGTGGAAACCTCCACCTGAGTAATAATAAATAGTCAGCTAAATGGAAAAATAGTTGGATGTGCACAGCTGCCAATGACCTGCAGAAACCACAATGAATATTTATTAGTCATAAGAAATTAGATGTTGTACAGTAATACCTGGCTAAATCAAACAAACTGTCTTAGAAAAATATTATTTTGGACTGAATGTATTTGCCATGCTGGTCTGCTTGTCTGTGTTTTTTTAAGAGATTAATTGATTTAACGGCTGCATTATAGTATTATGTAACTTTACTAAAGCCTACTGACGGCTGCGCTCTGTTTCCTCCCCCTCCGTCTCTGTTTTCGCCTGTAAAGGGCCCAAAGTTTCTATTTGTGGCTCTCTAACTCCCTCCCCCTCCCCCCCAGTCTCTTTGTGAAAGGCTGTTTTGTGTTGCAGTGAGCGGAAAGGAAGTTGCTGGCTTTGTGATGGGATCTCTGTGAAGATACTGTTGACTCTGTGACCCAGTAAAAAAAATCTGTCTTAGTTTTGAGCAAATATGCTGCTAGTGTCTCTGCAGAGGTTGCAGTTAAGGCTGTTATTTCAGCTCGCCCTGCAGTTGCAGTAATGACACACAGATTATTATTATTTTTTTTGTAAATTAAAGAAATGTACTGTTACTTCGCAGTAGTTGAAGCGTTCTTCATCAAGTTCATTTATTCTATGAGAGGTAAATGTGTATACTTCAGTCCAGTTAGAAAGCAGAGCATTCAACTCCTCGTCATGCCTGAATAGGCAGGTTTGCATAGATTTTAGTTAGTTGGGAAAAGGCCAATAACGGAACACAACTGTTTATCAGAGGGAAAGTAGACGAGATAAAAAAGTTTGCGTGTACGTGAGTTTAAAATAGGCCTGTTCAAGATGAGCCAGGCCTGCACAGAAGCGACCGCCACACAATGCATGCTGGTTAGTTAAACATATGCAACTATAACCTCCAAGATCAAGGCAGCCGCAGTTGCTCTCCGACTGCAAAACGGCAGGGCATGATGGGAAATGCTTGGCATCCTCCCCCTGATCTAAGAGCTTATTGGCTTAGATTTTGGATCAACAACATACTACTAATGTCTGTACAGTACCCAACATTTTAGTCCTTTGGGTGGCAAAGTCATGACTTGGATTGGCTAGTACTCGTTGCCTTTGTTGGTTGGGTTTGTCAGGTTTAGGCATGAGGAGTGAGATTAGTTAGGGTTTAAGTAAGAATATAATTTTAGCCAATCGGAGGCAGAGTAGGGTGGGTCATGCCTTTACCATCATAGGAAATACAGTTGCCGACATCGTCACTTTGGGGGCGAATAAACACAAACGTCCTGCGGTCAAATTCGCCTTTTTTTCTGACACCTCGAGCATTCCACATAATACGGGGATTAAGATAAGATCATGAGATTGGTTTTTCTCACTTCCTCGGATTCAAACAGGGATCACAGTTAACCTGAACTTGAAAGGTCTCCCTCCTTAAAGACGTTGTGACATTAAAGGATAAATCTTAATAAAGAGAAACTCTCAAAAGAACTGAATTCCTTACTTACTCACATGTTTCACTTCCTTCCCTTCCATGATGCCTTTTCAACTTTGGTTTTCCTTCCTTGATCTCTCTCCTCACTGTTTCTCACTCCCTTGTCCCCTTTGTCCTTCCCTCTGTTTTTAACATGTTTGCTGTTCCCTGTCTGTCTCTTCCCTCTACAGTATTGGCAGACAACCTGAAGTCCAACCCGGGGATAAAGTGGCAGTACTTCAGCTCAGAGGAGGGCATCTTCACAGTCTTCCCTGCACACAAGTTTCAGTGCAAGGGAAGTTACGAGCACCGCAGCAGGTATTGAGACCAACTTCTCCTTTTGTTTAAATTTTTCTTTTTAATTATCAAGCTCGACGTTCTTGCCAAACACACAACTTGTTGACAGATATCGCTCACTTGTCAAAGTATCAGAACGGGCTAGCTGACGTCAAAACCACATCAACTTGTTCCTGCCCTCTTCCACCTCTCCTCCTCTTCCACCCCTCCTCCTCCTCCTCCTCACCCCTCCTCTCAGTCAGTTGCTGTGGGGTGGCCCAGAGGGCATATCGATGGCATGGCGCCCTCACACACCCTGACCACACATGCCCTTGGCAGGAATGTAACTCTGTCCCACTAAAGCCTGTTGGAATCTCACACCTCCAGTGTTGTGGTTTTTCTTGCGGCCGCGGCTGAAAGACGTTTCTGTTCTCTCTCTCTCTCGTCTTTTCTTTCTATATTATTTTGCATTGGCTCTCACTTCTTTTATTTTTTTGTTTTTCAGTCATGTCTTTTTGATTTTTTTTTTCCTTTTCTGGCTGTTCAAGTCAGTGAGCTGGCATACAGCCATGAGAGAAATGACGTTACTTGGCTCGCTTCAAGTGTGAATGAGGCTTTGTGAGTACATCACTCCCCTTCTCCAGCCTGTGTTAGTGTCTCCTTGTCCAGTAGACCACACACACAGGCGCTGACCACCCTAATCGCTGCACCCCATCAAGCTGATCCTATACCTATATTAACTTGTGCACCAAATATTGAAAATATACCTCAGAAAATAGATGTAGACCTAATTTTATACCAACAGCAGGCCAACAATGAGCACAAAGTCAGCTTTTTGAGAATCAAGCATTTATCTTTGGAAAGCAGAATGTTTGCTATGTTACTTTAGTTTTTTTTACTGTGGCAAGGCCTAAAAAGCAATTTAAATCTTATTTTGTAATCCAAAAACCCATCAGCATTAACTGAAAATTCAAACTCCTTTCATAACTTTTGAAGTTTGAAGGTTTCCAATATAGTTGTAGGAAATTGTGCAGAAATAAGTTTTCGACAAATAACCTCTGCATTGACAGCGGGAAACGAAGAAAGTGTTGAACCTCCACTAAGAATAACAGTAAAGGGAAGAGGAACTCTTGTGAAATCTGCAGTTGAGTGCAGACACACAGTCAAAAGCCACCCAAGAGAGACAACGAATGAGGAAAGGCTGAAAGAGAAAGACGCAATGTTTAGTTAACAGATACGTGAGACGCGATTAACATTTACTCGGCTCACAGAAAACGACATCACGTGTTTCCGTAGTTAATGCACTTAAATCTGTTTCAATTTATCATTTTATCATTACGGTACAAATGCTGGCACAGTGTGTGTTGTATACACATGTGTCTGATCTGGACATGTATTTGTATTTGTGTGTGTTCCTCCAGGCCTGTGTATGTGTCTGCAGTGCGACCCCAATCTAAACACATCGTGGTGATGGTGGACCACGGAGCGTCTGTAACTGATACCCAGCTTCAGATCGCCAGGGACTCTGCGCTGGTCATCCTCAACGCCGTCGATGAACATGACAAGGTTAGTGAAAGGGATTGGACCTCGTCTCTTTTACCTGGCTTTATTATGAAGAATGCAGAGTTTAACGCAAGTTTAGAGAGCATCAAATATGCTAAAATGTTTTTGAGATTAAAAAGAAAGGCCAACAACATTTCAGTGTTTCTCCAACTAACATGTTTGTATGAATCTCATTATCACTCCTCTCCAGATCTCCATTTTGTCAGTGGCCGAGGCGGTTCGCTCCTGTTCTCTGGACCAGTGCTATAAGAGTCTGCTCTCTCCGGCCACCAGCGAGACCAAGAGGAAGATGAGCACCTTCATCTCCAACATCAAGGCGTCAGATGGAGCCACACAGCACGCAGCGGGCTTCCAGAAGGCCTTCCAGCTGCTCCGAAACACCAGCAGTCTCTGCAAGCACAGTGCCAGTAAGAAATATGTGCTGACGCTGCATAGTAAGATCGTGTCCGTGTGCTGCCTCAGTTCCAGCTATTATTTTCCAACATAATCTACTCACCCGTCAATTTGTGTGATATAACTTGACACGAGCGTTGATTTTGTTTCTGTGTTCTATCAGCCACAGACATGGTGATCGTCTACCTGTCGTCCGGGATCACGTCCCGAGAGTCGTCGGAGCAGGAGAAGAGAGCGACACTCAGTGTGGTGAGAGAGGAGAACCGGCACCTCAACAACTCGGTCATGATCCTCACCTACGCTCTCATGAACGGTAGGTCACTTGTATTTACATTTACATCAAAGGTAAGAAATGATCACAAAATGCTGATTTCCCTGAACAATAATTGGTTAACCCCAAGTATTGTGCTGCAAATAAAATTTTTAAAATGCCATTATCACAGAGATTTCACATTTATTTATTTTTCTGATCAAATTTTCACCTGTTTTTTGATATTCAAAAAAAACAATCTAATAAATTCCAAGCATTGTTTTGAAAAATAAGATCCAAAGAGGCCCTACTTGTACTGAAACAAAGTACTTACTTGGGTATTTTAGAATAGCATCCCAGCTGAAAAATCATGTCTTTAAAAAAAATAGTCACGAAACACAATTTTGGAGCTGTGTTAGTCACATATCCTCCACATTCTTTTAGATTTTATTTTATTTGTTCTTGTTTTGCGCGTATCTGGTCAGCTGGGAGCCGTTTCTGTATGTTGGATATCCTTCCTCTATGTTCTTGGGGACAATGTGCTCAAGAGAAGAATGAAGGTTAGAGAGGTGCTCAGAAACCTCAAAGGCTTTTTTTGTGTGTGTGTGTGTGTGTGTGTGTGTGTGTGTGTGTGTGTGTGTGT